CCCGCCATGGGTGGCCGCGGCGCCCCTCTGTGCGCGGCGCAGCCCGGGGTACGCGCAGTTGGGCGCGGGGCGCGGGTGCGGGGTGGTTAAGGGCGCGAGTCCGGCCGCCGGGAGCCAGGATGCTCGCGAAGTGCGCGGCGCTCCCTGCGGGGCGGGCTTGGAGCGGGGCGCAGGGGGCTTGGCCTCCTGCTGGGAGGGACCCGGAGCCAGGACCTTCCCGGCTGGAGGGAGACGGTGGGTGGCAGGCCTGGCCCGGCGCCCCCAACTTTGGCGAGTGCGTCACTCTGGGGCTGGCAGGCACGGGTCGCCGAATGGCAGCACAGGCTCACAGTTCCTTTTCCGCTTTCGCCCCACCTCCCGCAGGTAGCCGAGAGCGGCCGGGCTCAGGAGCCGCTGCCGTTGCTGGAGGTGTCCCCTCTCAAGAGGCTGCCGGCCGGCCCCGACCAGGACCCATGTGGCAGCCGCCCTGCACCGGAGGGCGCCGGGGCCGGCGTCGAGCAGGGCCACTCGGACGGTGGAGGCGGTTGGTGCCGCCACTGTCACACCAAGCTCGCCGAGCTCAAGCGACAGGCGTGGAAGCTGGTCAGCGGGCCCGGGACACCCCTCCGGGTAAGCGGCCCCTCCTTGGTGAACCATCCGGGCAGGGCCTCCTGGCGCCCAGGAAGCCGTGATTCCAGTCCTGCCTTCTCTGCTGCTTGGCCATCAAGTGCTTTTGGCCAGGCCCTCTGGCTCTGAGCCTCAGTTTCCCAGCTGTAACACCGATGTGTGTGAGGCGTGGCAGGTTTTCCAAAGGGGGTCCTGCGGTAGCGTGCGAGGGGGGGTTGGACGGGAGTTTCTCGCTGGAGCCCAGATGCCCCACAGCTGGAACCACATCTGTGTTTAGAGGGAAGGAGGGATGAGGGAGACTGCGACTCCACCCAGGGTGGGACAGCCCCTGCCCTGCCAGCAAGGGAGAGGTTACATGGTGTGTTGTCACCCTTGGGGAACCTGGGCCCCCAGCCAGGTGTTGGGAAATTGCACACCTGGGCCCCAGGGCCTGGAGGGTGCCAGGGTGGGCCGGCCTCTGCCTGCCCTGCTCCCAGCATCCCTCCACATCCCGGGTAGATCCTGGACCCACCAGCCGTGTGGGAAATCCATTGCTGCACCCCGGGAATGGGTCCCCAGGTTGCAGCCACAGGGGGCAGAGTGTCTGCAGGGGCAGGGGTGCTGCTGGTTCAGCAGCCAGTGGGCTTGGAAGGCACGAGGACCATTGTTTCCAGGAACAATGTGCCTGGAAGTTTGCAGCACGCTAAGGTGGGGGTCTCCAGAGGAAGCCCGCCCTCCTGATCTTCAGACCTTGTGAAGGAATTCCTGAGAAGTCCAGTGTTCCCATGGATCTAAATATAGTGCTGTGTGGGGCGGGGGTGGGCGAGACCCTGGGCGTCTGGGGCCTGTGTGCTCTGGCTGGGCCAGCGGGCGGGTCCCGGCCTGGCCTCCGCCCCTGGCACGCGCGCTCCAGGCCCTTCTAGGGTCTGGTCGGGGGTGCAGGCCTGCAGCCTCTCTGCTGCAGCCAGGTGAGAGGGCCTGCAGCCTGCTCGGGGTGGGGCCGGCCCACAGACCCGTCCACGTCCACTGCCCAGGCGGGTGTTGGGGAAAAGTTATTATAAACAAAATCTACTCCTAACCCAGATAACTCCCATAAATATAGAAGAGGAAGACAGCTTTTATGATGGAATAAACGTTCGATCAGAATGGGATGCGTCCCAGCCAATCTCTGACTAGACTGCCGAGACAGAAGGGGGTCCGACCGTTACAGAGCTGAGAGGACACCACCTTGTTTTCAAGATAACATTGCTGAGTTTTCAGTATCTTTCTGTCTGGCGGGAGATTTGCTGTTTGGGGCCTGGGCCTCCAGAGATAGGGGACCTGGAGTTACATTTCAAGAGCTGGCTGCTGGGACGTCTTAGATTTACATACTTTTTAGTAAAACAAAGAAAGATTTTTACCGTTACAAGTTATTGAAAGTGAATTCCGAAAGCTTTTTCCCTTACTTTCGAAAGGGAGAATGGAAACCTGTTCTTTTCCATCTGTATTGTCTTTAGAAGGAGCCCCGGTGGTGCAGTGGGTAAAGCTCTCGGCAGCTAACTGAAAGGTTGGTGGTTTGAAACCACCCGCATCTCCTTGGGAGAAAGATGTGGCGGTGGGCTTCCGTGAAGATTGCAGCTTTAGAACCCCCATGGGCAGTCCTACTGTGTCCTATAGGATCGTTATGAGCCGGAATCGGCTTCATGGCACTGGGTCTGGATTGTCCTTACACACGCCAGGCCTTTGCTGGCTCTGTGCCCCAGAAGGCCCGTATCGGGGTTAAAGGCCCCAAAGCAGAGGGCAGTTTGGGACAGGCTTTTTCGCGCCTGTCAGTGCTCACGGGCCACCTTACCACCCTGGGTAGCCAGAGAGAGGAGGGGCTCTGCTGCCCAAGGGCGCTCTGGCTTTGGAGTGGACTTTGCCCTGGTGCTGCTGCCTGGCCCCTGTGGCGGCCAGGGCAGGTGGTGGGAGCTGCAGGCCACGGCAGTCCCTGGTGGACCTGGGGCTCGTCTGGGGCCTCCGATTCGTCTCTCCCTCCCATGGCTCTGACTACCTGGGGCACTTGCCTGCTGTCCTCCCTTGGCCTCCCCGGGTCTGCGGGTGTCACTGGGTGCTTCTCCCCAGTGCCAGGCCGGGCTCACCCCCTTCCCCAGTCCCCTGGGCCCCCATGGCCCCCTGCTCACCGCACAGGCCGGGCCCCGGCTCGGGCTCATGGCAGGGCCTTGCTGCTGCTGGCAGCTTCTGTTCCGCACCCAAGGTTTCTGCGCCTCAGAGGGCTTCCCGGTGGTCAGCTGGGGATAAGCTCGGGCATGCTGACCCAGCCGTGGGGTGCTGTGCCCGAGGGAGGGGAGGCTCCACCAGAGGAGGAAGTGGCCCGCGTGGGTCCAGGAGGTGGGAGGCCGCGCCCGAGCCCCGGCACCTCGGTGGAGTGTCTTGTCCTGTCACCTTGGAGAGCCGGACTCTCCCGGCGTCCTGGCAGACTCACAGCCGCCCCCTGGCAGACTCACAGCCGCCCCCTGGCAGACTCACACCCGCCCCCTGGCAGGCTCACACCCACCCCCTGGCAGACTCACACCCGCCCCCTGGCAG